AAATAAAAATAAATAAGTAGTAAATATATTTTAAATACTGATATGGATTTTATATTTTTTTAGTACAAATCTATGTTAGCATCTTCTTTTAGCTTTCAAGTACTCTGCCATATACATAATACATATAAAAGAGCATATAATTGCAACCTTAAGTGTTAGTGCAACTAGTGTTGAGCAACTAATTTACTTCTGTGGCTACAAATCATTTGGGCATACACATTATTTTGTTAACCAGAAAAAGAAACAGTTTTGTGTTTTGTTATTGGGTTTTTCTAAAGATCAGTGTGCCATCCAAGGTTTACATTCAGTCTGCAGGGTTTGTAGCGAACAATTCATCAAGGAAAACAGATTTCCTGTTCTCTGAAATGTGTGTGTGGTGTTGTTCGGAAATGCTGCTCTAAGTCATTGATTTTTAAAGGCAGCTTTTCTATCGCTGAACAACACTCACCTAGCAATGCCGTACCAGGAAGAAGGTGTCTGCCTGCTCTGTCTTCGCTACAGAACTCTTTGATCCAAGTCTTCTCCTCCATGGCTCCACCTATCTTCCGTGTGACAGGGAAAGTATTGACAAGAAGTGACACGGTTACAGTAAATCGGTAAGGAGACCAGCTCCTCGCCACAGCCTGAGCTCTGAAAGGGAGGGACAGATTTGGCTCTCAGTTACACGCATGAAACGTCAGTAGCTGAAACGAACCGGTGAAACTGCAGGCTAAATACATGGCTGTCTACGTAACTACCATCATATGCGTATGAAGATGGATGAGCTCCAAGATACAGGCGTTTCTAACACATGTTACTAGAATGAGTAGATGGGGTTTAGGTAAAAAATTCCAGATTTTGCCTTTGGGCGGTGTAGTGACACATCTACGACATCCTCCCTGGTAAGCGCATTGCTGCATGAGGACTTGGTTTTGCATGTCTCTTTTTAAAACCTACTGGATGCATCGCTGTTTCTTCTTTGCATGTCCCTGTAGTTCTAGCTTGCCTGTTTTTCATCCTGGGTAACCACCAAATTAAATGTTTTATAATGCCCCTTTCCCTCTCACTTAAATAATTAGATTTTGCTTCTTATTACATCTAAATATCTACCACATCAGATTCAATCACTTCCCCCACTGTTTTTTTTTTTCACTGACCCATTTTTGTTGACCACGTAATTCCCTCCCAAAGCCCCAGTGTATTTTCTTTTTCACCTGACTCCCAGCTACGTTAAGGCTAGCGTTAGTGGTACCACTGGCTTGTTTCGTAAATAGCCTCTCTTGACAAACAAGTGAAACCGCAGGTGCCCTCTCCCATCGCCACCAGGTTGTGGCCCTGGAGAATGTTACTCTCTAGACAAAGACACTGAAGAGAGGAAACTCGGCTTGGTTGGGTTGCAGCAAGTCAGTCAGGAAACACACAGTTCCTGAGAAGCCTTCATACAGACTATATACACTCTCTAATGCCCGGGAACCAGCCTTAAATTCTTCTGTAAATAAGAACTCCGCAAACCTAAGAAACGGGGAAAAAAAGAGAGTTTGTTATTATTTGGTGTCCCTGCATGTCTACTTACTTATTATTTGAAAGCATCATTTTAATAACAATGATTTCCAAAAGTAGAATGCTCATTATTTAACCTTAGGTGGAAATCTTACGCTCTCCGATTTCCACAACAAACAGAAGCCCATGAGATCTGGAAAAGCCAAACTGTTGCGATCTATACGTGTTACGCTTCTTTGAGAGCTACAAACTTTTTCTGAGGTCAAATAGCTTTTATCTTGGCTGTTATTTCAGCGGGATGTAAGCCATGTTTCCCACCGATGCAATAAACTCTGCAATGCTGATATAACTACACAAATAAAATGTTCTCATTTCAAAGCAAACGGCAGAAAATAAGTCACCCTAATTACCACTTCCTGTCATTACTATGTGCTGTAAGGAAGACAGTAACAAACATTGAATACTACCTTCTTAAAGATGGACAGTAAATTACAGAAATAAAATTAAAGATAATTGCATCACTGCAACAGGATTTTCAGTGGGATATACCTGCTTGCATCAGGACAAAATGGAATTAACCCCACCACCTGAGCAGAATAGCACAATGTCAAACTGGCTAAAGCTGAAAATGCCAGATTAAAACCCAGTAAAGTAACAGCAAAGCAGGTCCTATACTTATTTTCAGTGTTTAGTCATACAGGGTAGTGTTAAATGACCTGAAAATCAGTATGTCGAACAGCATCACATTCTACTCTACTCCTGGACTGGGGCACACAACTCGGCCGTTATGGCCTCACACCAGGATGAGACCTGGATGTGCACTGTTCCTCCCCATCCACCCCAGGTCTCACGGAAGGAGCGCAGGCTCGCAGGACGGGCGGAGGGAGCCCAGGAGAACCCAATGGTTCTCCCACCACAGGCAGCCTGGAAGCAGGACTGCTGGGCTCCCTGCAGCATGTGCCTGCCCCACAACTCACAGGCAGAACTGCCCCTGAGGCTTAAATACTCAGATTACATTGGAGGGCGGCGAGCACAGGTCTGAGCAGCTTTATAGATGTTCTTGCAACTCTCCAGTATTACCCTGAACCCAGAAAGGTAGGAATGCTCACCTCTGTGCCCTGTAAATGTATTTTGAGTTGCCAGTGAGCCTATACAGCAGCAGGAACACGTACGCACTACCAGCCACTCCATGGCATATTCCAGGTCCCTTCTTCAACAGGCCTTTCTGCCAAGTCAGCTCTCCACAGCGGATACAAGTGTCCAGGTACTGAGGCTTCTTGGAAACCAGGTAAGCTTTGGCAAACAGATATGCAATGCCTAGAGGAAAAGAGCAGTGAGATTGTCTTCTGTAGTAAGAAGACCAAAGGTTTCGTAGAAGACATAAGAAAGTAAAGATTAATACACTAAAAAACAGCAGTCTCATGCTGTACGCATGTCAGCGTTACATACCTATATGCCACATACGGAGGAGAGAGCGTCTGGTATGCTGAAAAGCACAGGGTAAGATGTACTTATCCTGTACACACCCTGTGACGACAACACTTTCAATCTTTTCAATGCATTACTGAATTTCAGGGTTCACTCTAACATTCCCGGTCTTTCTTCAGTTTAAAACAGTAGTCCAGATTTTGCCTTTAAAACAGTGAGCTCTTAGCTCTGCCTTCCATTGGTCTCAAATCCCCATTCACCTCACCTATTTGCACTGACACAAACACAAGGATGGGCAAGATAATTTCTTACGCTGACAACAGATACTTTTTTTTACTGAATGAGAAAAAGAAACTTGCTTTCCTTTTTTCAGTGGGGCCCATGGTGCTTTATTCTAGTTATAAAGTTATGCATATTAACTTCTGTTAAAAAAAAAAAAGCTTTTTGGCTTATTTTTAGAGGGGATTCAAATAAATTAATCATAATCTTCAACAGGGCACTGCACAACTCAGTTCATGGTAGCCTTAAAAGAACGCGCACAACACACAGCCAAACCAAGTGCCTAAGGAAATGTTTAGAATAGCTCACTTGTGGTCTGAATATAATATACACTGAAGTAGCTGAAAAGTGTTCTTGTAAACTACATTACCCAAGAACAGTGACAGGATACAGGATTTTCTGGGGTAGAAAAATAGCAGTTAGTGAATTTACATGTCTCTAAATATCTCAGAAAGTAACTTCTTTATGCCCTTTGGCATTCTGTCACTTTGGTCAAGTCTTGCTGCATGTCTCCACTAACAGCCAAACCCAAGTCAAAGGCCACTCTCAAGACAGTAAAACAAAGAGGGCACCTTCCCTGCAGGTTTCATCCCTAGGCCAGCCATGCTCTAGAAGTAAGTTTTCTTTCTTAAAAATAAAAAAGATTGGTAAGCAAAGGTTGTTTTCAATTCCCTTCATCATAGTGTGAGCAAGAAGCTGGTTCCTCGATCATACCAACAAAAAAGCAATGCACCAGCAGAAAGCACACTTAAGGGATGTTAATTATAATGTACTCTTTGTAATTTAAATAGAACACCTTTAAAAGCAATGCATTGATGCTCATGGGCATTCTTTAATAAAAGTTAGGTTTTCTGTAACCTTTTAGGTTCATGCTACCAAGCCAATATGACTAGTCAGCAATAAAATTCTGCCTGGGGGTAAAAAAGCAATTTCAATATACAGCATTACTTGCCAAAATTGCTAATGTACAGGATTAGATTCTGAACTGACAGACATCAGCCCTACCTCATGAACCCAAACTAAGGGTTGATTCTCTTCCTCTCTGAAAAACAGTTTTCTATAGGTGACTTTCAGAAAAAATGCCCTTTGCTAGTACAAACTCCCCTTCACATGAAAATACTTAGGTTAAATTTCTGCATTATCCATGTAATAAGTGTAGCTTAAACTTTGATTCTGATGAGGTGGGAAAAAAGCTATTCTGAAGGCCTCCCAGAACTCACAGATGTGTCTGTATCTGTGTTCTTTCACATCCTATTTCTCTGTCCAGCCATATGCTGTCTTTTGACTCAGCTGTACCATTCTTTGTGGTCTTGTCACAAAAATGAGCAAGACCGGAAAAAATACAGTTCAGGATTGCCAGAATTCTTTCAGCTGTGACCACCTATGCTTTTAAGGCAGAAAATATGCTTATCCTTCCAGCTGCTTCAGCAATAAATAATGCTCTTTACTGGATGAAAAAGCCTCAATAGTTAGCTTGCATCTCATAAAATGTCAAAACCGGTCATATATAACCTGTTTATCTTCTACATGGAATCACCTAACATGGAAAAGCAATGTGATCAGCATCTGGCTACTCATAGCATCAATGAGTAAAGAACCTGGAGCTCCATGACACCAGTGTACGAGCTCATTCTCCCGCTCGATTGCCTCTCCCAGCTCAGGAGGCCAGTTGCTGTTCTGTTCTTGGTCCATAAGAAAATCAACGCTCTGCCACACCAGCTCCTGATCTGCCGGCTGCAGGTACTCATAATAGGAAAGCAACATCTGAAGGATCGACGAAAGCCCATGTGCTGCACCTGCAAAGAACAGAAACAGTCTCGTTAGAGGGTAAGTTTAGGTCCTACCTCCATCTCTCGGCAACTTGCCCTTGGGACTGATTTCCATGTCAACTGCATGGCTCTTCCTCTTCTTTATGTGTACTACAATAGTGCTTGGGATAAAAGCTTTCTAGGTGCATGACACTGTTCCATTACTACTTCTGTCATTTCCAGTTCCCTTAGCTATGCAAAAATACACACAAATTTTCTCTGCTCTTACGCTGATATGACTGAAACCCAGTGCGTGAAGTTAAACTGAACCTAAACCGAATACTGTTTCAAGACGTTATTCTGCTTGATACACTACTGATTCTGGATCATTATTCTGAAGCCTTTGTTGAACCCAAATCAAAACTGGACCATAAATGGTATTCCCAGCTACTGACTGACAGTGTCAGTTGGTTAAAACCTGAATTTCAGTGCAAGAAATGTCTGTATCTGCCAGGGTCTGGGGTGCAGCACCACTCAGTGACTTCTCCCTCTGCTCCCCTGCCAGAGAACTCACGAACATCTGCAAACCAATCTCACACCATCTGCAGCGTGATATGGTGCCGTGAGGACTCCACTAGGGATCTCCCCAGTGACCTTCAGCACTGCTTCAGATGAGCCCCGACGAAGCTGCTCGCCATAGGTGGGAGCTGACCGTATGCTTGAGCAGCATTGCCATGGCCAAAACGCTCTGCAAGCCCCTGCATGGCCACAGCAGCCAACAGATAACATCCCCTGACAGTTCGGTCTGGTAATCTCCACACAGGCAGGGGCACCACGCCTCTCGCTGCCTCCATCTGGCAAGGGCAGATTTACTAGGGCGGAAGTGAGACAATGGAATGAAGCTGCAGCACAGGCACCTCTTGCGTTCCCACCGCCAGGCAGCATCATTCCTTCCCTCAAGCTCCTCAGCCCCCCTTCGCAGTTTCAGGAGGTTGGATGGTCCCAAGGCAGTCAGAAGAAATCCCACATTGTAGGTTTTACACATTTTCTTTCTGAAGCGTCTACTGGCTCAGCAACTACACATAGCAGCATTTTCTAGGGAGTTGGTGTGTTTTACTCACCAAGATACTCTGTGCCATAGTAGGAATACATGAGTGGGAACGGTTTCCTCTTCTTCACTGCATACTGCTTTCCTGATTCTAGTATGGCCAGGCAAATTGATTTTATTTGTGCTGGGGTCAGCACCTAAACGGAAGCATCAAAACAAACATGAAGTTGATGATGATAATTCTAGTTTTTTAGACATTTTTCAAGACTCCGTTTTTGTGCTGGTGCAGAAGACAAAGTACTGCCTCTAATCTTATGGGCATGCTGTAATGTACATCATTATTAAGAGTTCCTTACATAAACCAGTAAATTAACATAATGTTTCTCAAAAACAGTTTCATCCCATCTCTGAAAGTCAATGTCAAATCTTTAGCTAAACAGAAAAGAGGCTCCCTAAGAGCTCCTGCCTTTCCTTCCCAGAGATCTGACAAACACCAGGCAAGCTGCGGAACAACAGCCTCCAGACTGGAAAAGAGGTGTTAGGAGAAGGCAAAATAAAACAGACCTATAAAGAAGTAGATGTTACAGGCTTTACTGGGACGTACTGAGCTAGACAGATATTTCTCAGATGATATAAAAGAGGAAGCAAGGAAGAGGGTACTACATTTTAATGAAAAGCAACTCTACGTCTGTGGGTTCAGAAACATGTTAGTAAAAGAATCAGGCCTTCTTACTTAAACAAAAGAAGTGCAAGACAGGCCTCTCTGAAGAGAGGCTAGGTGTGTTTATGGGACTTCATCATCATCAACAGGTCAGCACCGCCTTTAATGCAGCCCTAAGAAGTGACTAACGCCTTACTCCTAGTGGTGTCTGAAGTAAATAAGATTGACAAATCATGTATTTCACCAGACATGAACTTCTCCAAGTTACTGACCTAAAGCATTCAGTGAGGAATCGGTTTTACAGTGTTAAGGACAGCTCCAATGCTCTGTAGTTCACTGCAATCATCCGCAATTTCCTCTGCGTCAGCCACATCTGCACGTTACTGACCAATACCCAGGTCACTAAAATAATCTAGTTTAAGTAGTGTTTTGGCTTTGGGGGAAAGCCTGTATGGCTGCTGTACTTTTCAAAAATATATTTCAACTTAGGAAAAGAGAAATGAGAGAGGAAAAAGGCAAAATGAGGCAGAAAAATGAGAAAGGCTGTAGAAATAGCTTTGACAAGATAAATAGTGATTCCAAAACTAACCAGAATATCAAGCTAATGTCTTTAAAACATTTCTGAACACATTTGGTTGTGCTATAATTTGTATTGTCACAGGATTTACAATTACTTCTTCAAGTTTAAAAAATACTGTTAGCATTAAGTATGGAGGCAACATCTGTTACAAACTCTATTCTCTCATTTGGCATGTAAAAGATGCTACAGGTAATCAATGTCACTTAGAACTTGACTGAAAACTAATGGCTGAAAAATCCTGCTTGTCAATCTTACCTTGCTCCCTGACAACAAGGCATTCTATTACAGCTGCTCCAAATGGCTAAGGTATTTGTACAGCCTGGAGAACAACCAACTTCTGGTCTTGATTAGCATTCTTTAACGTTACTTCAGTAGAAGTAAATAGGCCATTAACATCTGGAGACTTCACACATTTCCAGTAATTGTTAAATGAATTGTTTTAGCTTCACTGAATTTAAAGAAATGGTTTAAATCCTAAGCAAACGAGGAAGATCAGAGACATGGGGAGACACACTGCATTCTACCCAGAGCTCTCGTTTTACTGTCTTGCCGTTTGGGACCTAGTCCTCCAAAACCTATACTTCGTAAAACGATTAGTAAGGTAACCCTTTAAAAATAAACGTGAAGGATCAGATCTCCTAGTTGCAATTCGGGAAGTTAAAGGCATGCTGATGACAAAAATTGTAATCAGCTCATATTCTGTATGTAATGGTTCCTTTACTTAATAGATCAACAGGCTTTCAATACAAACCATGTTTACCTAAGCTCATTTTTGTGTCAAGTGCATTTAATTTTTAAATTGAATTAATGACTATTTCAAAACGCTGGTTGTGTATTTTAAATGGATCTCAACATCTACCCAAATCTAGCCTTGCACAATGCTGCATAAACAAATATCAGCTAGCAAGTAATGCACTGTTCACCATTTTTTAATATAAAGTTAAGTGTAAAAAGTCAAACACTTCAGCACTACGATCACTTTATTGTATACATAGCATACTTTTTGGCTGGCATAATGAAATAGGCTAGTGAATATCACCTCTTTTTCAGAATCCAGAAAAAACCCACATGCAAAGCCAGATGAAAAATTATTATCTAAAGTCAGCATTAGAATGGAGGATAGAAATCAACCCATCTGACCCACTTCTACCTTAGCAAGAAGATAGAAAAGAAAATAATCTCCATGTCTTGAAAACAACCTTCTCTCTGGCCAACTGGACTGACCTGTATGCTTAAGGCAGGTAGGTGATGTGTCCTAACTATTAGCCAGGTAAGAACATTTTTGTGCTGACTCCAAATTATCTCTTACCAACTGCCTCGATCCACAGCCACTGTAGGGCTGCTGTCTGTTTTTCAACACGCTTAAGGGATCTGTATTTGATCCTTATTCTAGGAAATGGTTGGCTGGAACACAGACCCTCACTTGCCAGGATGATAAGTGGCCTTCCAAAGGTTGAATGATCAGAAATCACATTTAAGATCTCCATCGGCTTGCTACATCTTGTTTCAACCAGATCTGTATTAAAACCTCCTCAGATTTTTTTCACCTTGCACATATATAAAATCTGTGGGTAGTCTCTCCACACTCCCTCGCTATATCTTTAATAAAACAGCTAAAAACTTATGAGCAAACCAACAATCACAGAGTACATTAATCATAATCACAGCTGGTGTAGCCGTGGTTCTGCAAAGTTCATTTTCATCTCAGTGCAGCTGCAATACCTCCTTGCCCCGGGGAATTACTGAAGCAATAGGTTTAATTAAAGATGGCAAAGAAATAGACTGATCATCCAAGAGGCTTTGAAAGGATAAATTGCATATTGATATCACGTCCTCTGGTGAAAGCTGTCAGATGCTTTGATGACGAATATAGCCAATATGAGAATATGCTACTCGGAGAAAAATTCCATGCTTGAGATAACTACGGTTTTTTGAGAAACTTCTTGAATGTCATTTAATATGAGCTGGCTACGCAGTAGGTAAAATTATTCTTTATCATGTCAGTAATTAGCCAAAAGACTACTGACACTAAGAGATGTATTGCTGGTGGTTTAATATTTCAGCCAACTCTTTTTGTATCATTAAAGACACCACAACCTATCCTATCACATTGGAAGTGCCCCTTTTAGTCTCTTCTGTAGACCAAAGTTTAGAATACATGCATTCTACATCTCCCCTGCAATTTCCTTATCAATTGGCCAGTCGAGTTCTTTATCTTCTGTTTTAAATCAATGCCCAGTGATGCTCTGTGCTGTTCAATAACTGTCCCACTCACACTGGTGATAGCCGTGTTGCCATATACCTTTTACTTTAAGCACAACGCTCGAACAACACTGTAATACTTCATGTTTGTACTACTGCCTGTGCCTAGGAGCCCTCCTTATAGCAAAAAAAGCCACTGTGGCTGTTCCTAACGTCTCTCCATTTTCTCTTCTGCCACTGCAGACAATATGCCTTCTCCCACTAAGGCACTTGACAGATTTGTGAATTATTTAAGACAGGTACTTTATTCAGTAAATCCCTGTTAAAAGTCAGCAAGGAAGTGCTGTGTCTACAGCAGTCACAGAATTTGTTGTTAGAAGTCTTTCTCAACCTGAGATTGTTTAGATGGAACAATCTTTCTCAACCTGAGATTGTTTAGATGGATTGTTTAGACTGGTTTCACCAGTCCTTTTAATATACTAAGACAGATTTCATAATATATTGGTTCTGACAACGCTAGGTCCCAGTTATATGTTTCAAAAACTGCAGGCAGAAATCCTGACCTTGAGGATTAGGCAGAAAAAAGCAGGACTAGCTCTTCTTCGCTTCTGATTACAGTAACATTTTCAGCACTTCATCATTGCTCCCAGTGCTTGCTACAAGCCCCTTGGCTCGTGATTTGCCTTTTGAAAACCACTGCTACCTAAAACTGCATACTGGATTGAGTATATTTGAGGACTGTAAGCTTTTAATTCTTTTAAAAGATCCATACTTACTTTCTCAAAGCTCTTTCCTTTATGTAAATAAGAGAGAGTGTTACTGAATGCCAAGTATCCTTTTATTTTTATAGATGCATCGGTACCTTAAGGAAGTAACAGCTACACTTACATTATTGTGGAAAAAGCCTTCCTCTATGCATATAAAAATTTTTTAACATGCATCTAACATATCAAACCTCTTCCTGTCACCCTTCTAAAAAGCCATTCACATGAATTTGATCATACAATTTTCCTGATGCTGTAGGACGTGTCAAAATAAGCTGAAAAAGTGGGTCAGAATACAAAACACCTAACAGGAGCTTTGCCGTTAGTCTCTTATGCTGGAAGCCCAGCAGAGGGAGCTTGTGAATTAGTTATAAAAAAAAATTATATATATATAT